TGGATAAATAAGAATTTTCATTTTATCTTAAAAAAAAAAAAATCCAACTATAAACACATTACAAATCAGACTCCATGTAACTAAAGTCTCCAACCGATACAGCCTTTAAGTACTATATTACAAGAAAGATTAAGAGCTCACCTGATGATCTACCTTCTTCACATTTCATTTCTTGTTTTTATTTTTTTCCCCGCAGACAAAAATGTTAAAAGAGTTCATCCATTCAGAGATTATTGGGTCATCTTGAAAATCTGTCAGGGCCACATTGCTTATATATGGAAAGTTTCCTCTCAGCCAAAGCATCAGCAATTTCAAAACTGCTGGATAAATATGTTCTGAAACTGAAAAACTTGGGTAAGCAGCCAGATTTTTAAAAAATTCATACCCTCTAAACCTACAATTCTAAAAACAACGCAACACTCAGCTTTACCATCTTCACAGGCTAAGGTACGCAAAAGAAAAAAATGCAGAAGGAATGCAGACCTGGCTACCTATTTTTCCTTCTTTCTTTACATTTAATATCTTTTTAATCATTTTAATCGTCCCAAGTAACATACCTAGACTGTCAGTTGATCCCAGGTTCATATCCACCGGAGGAGACTCCTGATGTAAGGCCTCAATAATTCTTAGAAAGGAGGAGGTTTTAACTCTTGTTGCATCTGTCAATTGGTGTCTTGGAATCATCAGATGTTCTCCTGCAATTGAGTAATCTAGGTAAGCAGCTTTACTTCAAAAAAATTCCTAGCTCAACAGTTTCTACTCCTAATGTTTTCCCCTACATTAACATAGCGGCATGGCTCAAATGTCATGGAAAAGGGTGAGACATTTCCCTTCAAGAACAATCCACATCCTCCCAATCGGATCCAATGTGTAAAAAAAAAAGGAAACACTAAATCTAAAGGGATTGGAGATTTAATGAAGGGGTACGGGCTTTTGTTAGTCATAAAAATATATTGTAACAAGTTCCTATGCTTTGAAGTTGAAGGACATGAATATCATTTATCCTTGAAAACAAGAGATTAAGATTCACCAGACAATTGCATTATTATCTCTTCGTATAAGAGGCGAACGCCAATCTCTTTCACATTGAAGGGTTGGGTATCTGTTCTTACTTCAACCATAAGTCTGGTCCCTCCATTCACCAATCTTGGAGCTCTCCAGTAGCTGACCCACATGATTGCATCTTTTTCAGGGTACCCAACGAATGTTGGAAAGTATGTACGGCAGTAGCCAGTAGTGATATTCTCAATCTTTATGCTTAAAGTTGGATTACGATAATCAAGTTTATTTACCAAATAAACAACACATACTGCAAGCCCTTCAAAACTTCCACTTGACAGTTGAGGTACATCAACATTTAAGCGATTGCCTTTATTCTGATTATTAAACCAGCCTGGAACCTTTCTTTCAGGAAGAAAAATGCTATAACCCCAGTTCCACACTGAGACAACCCCTGCCACATGAAAAACAAGAATCATGTGATTTCTCCCTTATAAAAATTGAAAACTTATAAAGAAAGAAAGAAATTAGAGAGCAGAAACCTGAATGGGAGCCTTCATCCAGGTGCCGGTTGCAGCATTATGAAGACGGGACTGCTTGTTAAGCAAACATTCCAATCCAAACAAGCGCTCTAACTTAGAAAGTTCACCCCTAGTTAAAGGTTTCAGCTTGAAATTTCCCTGAATCTTGACCAGTTTTTCACAGCCACTAAAAGCAAAGAGAGAACAACCAAATATTCTCTCTGGTTGGATAATATTTTCTGGTAAATTAAGCAGTCCTTTGTATGCCACTTTCTCCAACAATGTACAATTCCATGCATTCAAATTTGTGTGCAATTCAGCTTCTATAGTTTGAAGCTTCTTGCAGTCACTTATGTTCACCTGATTTTGGGGAGGAATGATGCTAAGGTCAACTGGCAGGCAGCGAAAGTTGTTTTGGGATAAATCCAATCTTTTCAATGTGGTGCTCAGACAAGCTATGGAACTTGTTGTCCCTGACAAATCACAATCAGAGAGATCAAGCTCTTTTAACTTTGACAAATGCAGTAGACAAAGTGGTAAAGTATGAAAATTGTTTCCTCTTGCCAACAATTTCTCCAGATATGGTAGGCCATTGAGGTGTCCAGGAAATGAATTATGTGATAGATTGCAAAATGAGAGATTCAAGCTTGTCAAAGAAGCCAAATTCCACAATGGAGACAAACTGTGGATGCCCAGACTTCCAAATAAATATCCTTCATTACTCCATAAAACTTCTGTGAGGTTCTTGCGATGGCCAATCAAGATGGGTAAGTTCTTGATGGCAGTAAAGCCTATATTCAATTCCTTCAAACTTTCCAGGTTACCAAGATCCTCAGGTAACTCTGTTAGTTTTGAACAATGAGATAAATTAAGATCTTGGAGAAACCTTAACTCGCAGATCTCTGTGGGAAGATGAATGAGGTTCTTGCAGTTTTTCAAGTCCAAAGAAACGAGTTTACTGAGATTGCCAATGGACTGGTGTACCTCAATCAAATTGATGCAGTCTATAAAGATCAGTTTTTCAATATTGCATAGACCTGAGATGTCAGATGTTCTGATTAAGTTATGAGAATGACTGAGATCAAGGACTTTCAGATTTTTAAGAACCTGCAAAATGGACAAGGTCACATAAATCTCAAAAAATAAATAAATCAAATCAAAGATAATGCAACCTTTTTTTTTTTCGGCTGACAAGAATTTGCAACCTGAAATAAGCAAAAAAATACTGTTTTTACCTCTGTTTGCTCCCAAATATGTTTGAGCTTGCTGTATCTTAACTTCAATACAACCAACTTTTTGAGATTTAAACTAGGTGGTATAGATACCCAGGGGAATCTTTCCCAACACAGCCATCTTAATTCTTTCGTGAAATGTTGGCAGCCTCCAGTGAATGCAGCATTCTTAAGTTGGAGTATTCTTAGTTTGTTCATCCTTGCAAGTGCTTCAGTACTAAATGACTTCTCCCTTAATCTAGGGAAGTTGCCCATAAGACCTATGACTTTGTCCGTACCCTGATAATAGAAAGCATTGAGAATGTCAAATAGCAACCTATATGTTGTTTCAACAGAAGATTGGAGATAGGATACTGGGAAAATGTAGTAGTGCTTACCTCATGGTATTTCAGAACCATACGGATGTCCTTAGGAGAAGATAGCCTACTGCGCTTGCCAGGTTTTTCAACATTTTCTCTACGGACAATTTCTCTTGCAATTTTTTGAAGCAGATCGTGCATTATTAGCTTCTTGTCAAGACTTATTGTTAAAAGGCACTTTTGGATAAGAACACGAAGTAGGATTTTTGTATGGAAGCCACAACCATCTAATATAGAAATTGCATCATTCTCATCCGTCCCCACAAAGAAAAATGCAATGTCAAGAAAAATGGCCTTTTGATGGTCATTTAGTGAATCAAAACCAATTTTAAGTCTATCATAAATTTCTCCATGAGGAGTACTCTTGAGTTCCTCAAATGCACTCATCCACTCAGGTGGAGTTTTGTCGGATAGGAAAGATCCCAAAACTTTAAGAGCTAATGGATGCCCTTCAGCATATCTCACAATCCCGCGGGAAAGCTCTACAAAATCATCTGGTGGATCATGTTGTCTAAAGGCATGCCAACAAAAGAGTTGAGAAGCAGAAAAATAGGATAGCGGTGGGACCAGAAATTTGGCATCCACTCTATGAGCATTAAGCAAATTTTCATCTCTACTAGTTACTATGATTCTGCTTCCAGCACCAAACCAGTCGTGCTCTCTAGCAAGGGCGGCTAGCTGGTCCAGGTGATCAACATTGTCAAGGATAACAAGAACCCGTTTGTACTGTAATCTTCTCTTGATTTTATTAATGCCATCATAAATATTGCTTACATGTAAGTCATGTACCCTCAAAATATGTTGGAGAAGTCTCTTCTGTAAATCAACCAGTCCATCACCTTGTTTTGATGCTAGATGAACGTCTTCAAGCAAACTGTTGCCATCAAAGAGTGGGAAGATTCTATTCCAAATAAACTTGGCAATTGTTGTCTTTCCTATTCCAGGCATTCCATAGATTCCTATGAAGCGTACATCTTTAGAGTCAAGTCGCAAAAGTGAAATAAAATCTTCTTCTCGACTTGCTATTCCAAAAAGTTTGTCTATATTGCTATGTTGAGCTGGATGTAATTTTTCCCAAACCTCTTCAATAATTCTCTTGATCAAGTCGGACTCATCCCTGAGTTATACAAGAAGGAATGAGATTCATCTTGGAGAACACATCAGGGTATGTATTTAAGACCAAAAAACCTTGTTTATGCTGTGTGTTTTATCAGTCCTAGCATTAGCTCTACCATTCAGTGAGAAATGGTAAGCAAAATAACTATGAAACATCACATGCATAATATAATGAGCAAAAGAAAATCATAACACTAACACATGGATTAAGCAGGTCTTAGTAATCAATAACTGCCAAAGCCAGAATAGCATAATTAAATAGATCTAATAAACTCTTATTAAAAGTTAGGCTAGTAGGTATTTAGGCAACAAAAGATGGGAAGTGGAAAATTTGAGAACCATAGGTTAAATTTATTCAAATGAAATAATCATTTGAGTTAATTGTAATGAGTTCACTGTTTGCAGCAGGTTACTAAGAAAGATTCTAATATATATATATAAAAGAATTAGATTACCCATTGACAGTTTGTAGATCAAACCCGGCCAGACTTGCAGCATTGGTAAGAGCTGTCTTCCAACTCTCCACTTTCTCGGCCGGAACCTTCTGGTGACACACAAATGCTTCACCAAAGCTTCCTTTCTGTTTGCGAACGTCTGAGGGATCCACACGGAAGAAAATAGGCAGAACAATTTGTCCTAACCTTTTCCTGCAATCAAGGATCTTCACAAGTTCGTCCAGGCACCATCTGGAATCAGCATAGTTTTCTGAGAACACTATAAGGGCAATCCGAGACTGCTCGATTGCTTCTAACAGCTCAGTGGAAATGTCACAGCCCCTCCCAAGCTCATTATCATCCTTGTAAACCCTAAATCCAACCTGGTTTAAAGCAGAATAGAGATGAGCAAGAAAATTCTTGCGGACATCTTCACCTTTGAAGCTCAAGAAGATATCATAATTCCAATGAAGGATTGATGGGAAAGAAGAAGAAGCAGCCATAAAGAAGGATTGATGAAGCAAGAAGCAGATGGTTTTATCCTTTCATTTACTTTCTCATTTATATAATTGCTGCTTCAAATCATAGATAAAATGGCGGATTGTTGCTGCTTCTTTTTTTTTTTTTTTCAATAATACTATGCTGTTCATATAAAAAAAAAAAGTTCTTCCTTGAATTTAAAGAGGTATCAACATGAGAGTAGTTGATTATTGTATCACGTCCAAGTGGACGGGTTTCCTTCGCTTACCCATTTACATTATAGCTGCTTCCCGTCATCTATAAAATCAAAAGGGGACCAGCATGCAAAAGCTACTCTGCAGCACCACTAGGCCGGCGCAAATTTGTCAAAATTGCTACATAGGTCAGCAAAAATGGCCACCCAAGTCTTTAAAAATAGGTAATTCCCTACTGCATTTTGTTTTTCATTTATTACTTTTAGAAAAAAAAAGAAAAAAGGAGAAGAGATATTTGAAGAAAGATATATTGTTTTCTTGAATAATACTATATGCAAAATGACCTATATATAAGTATTTACAAAGAAAATATTTTAAAGTATAAAGTATATAAAAAGAATATTCTAAAATATAAAATATTTACAATAATTATGAATATAATATAAATAATTGTGTTGATATCTTAACATCCCCCTCAAACTCAAGGTGATTGTGATGAAACTAACTTAAGTTTGGAAAGAAGAATATGAAAGCGTCTAGGAAAATGAGCCTTGGTAAAGAGATATGCTGGTTGATCAGCGGAACCAATGAAAGCCAAATGAACCATTCCTTGTGCAACATGATGACGAACAAAGTGACAATCAACCTCAATGTGTTTAGTGCGTTCATGGAAGACATCATTATGGGCAATCTGCATAGCACTTTGATTATCACAATAGAAATCAGTAAAAGAAAGCTGAGGAATGCTCACATCTTCAATAAGCCACCGTAATGAAAGAAGTTTTGATGTGGCATTACCGAGAGCTCTATACTCAGTTTCAGTACTAGAGTGAGATGAAATTGTTTGTTTATTACTTCGCCAAGAGATAAGAGAATTATCTAAGAAAAGACAATAACCAGTGGTAGATCTACGATAAGAAAGATCACTAGCCTAATCAACATCAAAGTAAGTGTGAAGCACAAGGGAGGAGTTGATAGAAAAATGGAGTCAATGAAACAATGTTCTCTTAACATAATGAATAATACGAAGTACTACTGCATAATGAGTGGAGCAAGGAGCTACCATAAACTGACTAGTAATGTGAACTGCATATGCTATGTTAGCGCATGTCGTGGTAAGATAAACCAAACTACCAATCAATTGCCGATAGCGAGTAGGATCAGAAAGTGGAGAGCCATCCATAGGTGTAAACTTGACATTAAATTCAAGAGGTGTAGAAATACTCTTACTATCATTGAGTTCAGCTTTAGAAACAAGATCAGAAGCATACTTTACTTGAGAAAGCAGGTAGCCATCATCTGAAGAGGTGACTTCAAGCCCTAAAAAATAGCTCAAAACACTATGATCTTTCATCTCAAATTTCTGATTGAGAGATTTTTTTAGCTCCTCAACACCTGTAACCTCATCTCTAGTAATAATCTTGTTGTCAACATAAAAAAGTAAAAGAACCATACCCCGAGCAGTCTTATGAATGAATAGAGCTATATCATGTGGACTGGAAGTAAAACCAAATGCACTCATAGTAGCACTAAACTTTGCATACTAGGCTTAAGGGGATTGCTTTAACCCATATAATGCACATCGCAATCGGCATACCTTGTCTGAAGGATGGTTGAGCCTAGGAGGTGATTTCATATAAACTTCTTCATCTAGGTCACCATTAAGAAAAGCATTTTTCACATCCATCTGAAATAATTTCCATCTCCATATAGCAGTAATAGCAAGCAAACTATGCACAAATGTGAAACGAGTAATTGAAGCAAATGTTTCCTTAGAGCCTATTCCATACACCTGTGTAAAACCCTTGGAAACTAACCGTGCCTTATAACATTCCATATAACCATTAGATCGTGTTTTGATCTTGTACACCCATTTACAGCCTATTAGAGACTTTTCAACAGGGAGATCAACTAAATCTCATGTATGAGTCTTCTCAAGAGCCTATAATTCATCTTGCATAGCTTGTTGCTAAAAAGGGTTAGAAAAGGCCTCTTGATAGGATTAAGACTCATGTAAAGAAGTAATAGTAGGAAAACAATGATAATCATGAAGGTAGCTATGACGGTTTCTTACCTGAGTAGGATGACTTAAGGATAGGAGAACAGGCTCATTTGCAAACTCAACAATAGCAGATGCAATATCAACAGGTGATATAGATGAGGAAGTTGAAGAAGGCTTAGAATTATCTAATGCATTACCAACAGCAGATCATCTTTTACAGAACTAGTTAGAGCATGGGGTGAGGCATTGTAGAGCTCATTAGATGTACCTAAATCAGAATCACTAGGAAAAAGCTCAACAAAGGGATTAGTAAAAAATGGAGGTTGATGAGAGGATGACACTTTAAAGTTTGACAACAATGAGAACATAATGTGTTCCTAAAAGACAACATGACGTGAAACTCGAAATTTTTGTGATACAGGATCCCAACAATGATATCCTTTTTGTGTAATCCCATAACCCAAAAAACAATATAATCAAGCTCTAGGCTCTAACTTGTTATGTTCATGAGGTGGAAGAAAAACAAAACATGCACAACCAAAAACCTTAAGAAGATTATAGGCAGGAAGAATACCATGTAAACGCTTGTATGGAGACTGGTTATTAAGGACTGATGATGGAATGCGATTAATAAGATAAACAGCTATAAGAGCAGCTTCACCCCAAAATCGCTTCGGACAAGAAGATGAAATGAGCAAAGCACAAAAAGAATCAAGGATGTGTCTGTGTTTGCATTCGGCTCGCCCATTTTGTTCAGAAGTGTAAGGACAAGATTGTTATGTTAGTGTACCCTGTTCTTTCAAAAAAGATTGAAGTTTAGTACCAAGATATTCAGTAGTATTGTTAGTTTTCAAAACTTTGATAATTTTAGAAAACTGAGTTTTGACCATGTTAGCAAAATCAATATAAATTTGTGACAATTTAGAGCAATTTTTCATAAGGTATATCTACGTAAAATGAGTATGATCATCAATAAATAACACGAAGTACTTGGAACCCCTCATGGTGGGTGTTTGAGATGGACCCCAAACATTACAATGCACAAGATCAAAAGGAGCAGTAGAATGAGAATGACTACTTGAAAATGATAAAGCTGGTTGCTTTGTAGATTGACATGATACACAATGCAAGGATTCATTTGGAACAAATCCTAATAAACTACGAGAGATAAGTGGGCAAAGTTTAGCAATTGAGGTATGAGGTATGTTTGAGCCATGAGTGCCACAACTGGAAAGGAGAAATGTTAGTAGCAACACAGGCTTGCAAAATTTGTTGGTATGGAATTTGTGAAGACTATAATTCAACAGCACAGAGTAAGGTTTGGATGAAGTGATCATTTGGAAATGATTGTGTATCCATTTTATGATGTGGAATATGCATATAATTGAGCTCAAACAAACGCCCCACGTTGTGACTAATTCCAAGAAGTTGTCTTGTCTGCGGGTCCTCCACACGACAACCATGAGTAGAAAATGTTACTTCAAGGCCAAGATCACATAATTGACCAATTGATAGAAGATTATAACTAAGTTTTGGAACTAAGAGAGCATTTGATAAAGTCAATGACTTTGTAGAAATATTGCCAATGTGACTAACACTCATAGGGGAATCATCAGCAGAATAAATATCAAGAAAGGAATTATTTGGTGACATTAAAGAGAAATGAGTAGTAATTGAAAACATATAGTTACAACAACTAGAATCAAAATACCAAGGTTTGGTACTTGGAGCAGCAGATAAGGCAGTAAGAACATTAAAAAGGTTTAATATCACCTGTTTTAAAGATTGAAGGTTGACATTAGGTTGGTCTATCACTTCTTTAGCAACCATAACAGTAGTAGAATAAGTTATAGTCCTTTCAAAACTTGCCATAGAATTAACAAAACTCACAATACAAAAAACTCTAAAAAATATGAAGAAATAAATGCTAAGTTTGAAATAACAACCCAACACAATACCTTAGAAAAGGCTTGAGAACTGAGAATAACCAATCCAATCTGCAGGAGAAGACCTCAACGACAAAGTTTCAAACCTGAAATAGATATGAAAATCCAACTCACAGACCAAGCGGTGATGATAAAAAAGAAGAAAAACCAAAAGCTTATAGCTTTGATACCATGTTAGAAAATAGAAAAAAAAAGAAAAGAAAAGAAAGGAGAAGAGATATTTAAGGAAAAGTTTATTACTTTCTTGAATAATATTGTATGTACAATGACTTATATATAAGTGTTTACAAAAAAAATATTCTAAGATATAAAGTATACGAAGAGAATATTTTAAAGTATAAAATACTTACAATAATTATGAATATAATCTGAATATTTGTGTTCACATCTTAACAATTACCTTAGTTGGATTTTACCTATAAATAACCATGTTCCTTTTGTTGTATGCGTCAAGTTTCAATCAAAATATTTGTGTTAATTATCTTCTATTTGAATGAGTTTTTTGAGAGTAGATTTCTCCCAATTTATATTAGTATCTTAGGTCTTGTCAACCTAAGTGATGTTTTAGACAATCAAATTCATTGCAGTGTGATTCTAAAGCTCGTCAAAATTAGTGTTTTTGTATTTACTCCTGGGCATGTTGTGTCGTGAACTTGATTAAGTACGGAGAACGGTTTTCATTCTTTTCCCATTTCAATTAGGTTAAACTCCTATTTTGGTCCCTGAACTATTGTACGGACCTTCGATTTGGTTCTTGAACTAAAGAAATTCCTAATTTGGTCCTTGAACTATTGTACGGACCTGAGTTGGTCCCTAAACTATTTTACGACTCCCAAATTAGTCCTTAAACTATTGTACGAATGCCCAATTTGGTCCCTACTGTTTACCAATTTAACTCCAACTTGGTCTTTTTGTTAAATAATAGCTCAGGGACCAAATTGGGGCGAAATTGTAAACAGTAAGGACCAAATTGGGGGTCCGTACAATAATTCAAGGACCAACTTAGGCCAAATTATAAACAGTGGGACCAAATCGAGATCCGTACAATAGTTTAAGGACCAAATCAAAAATTTTTTTAGTTTAAGAACCAAATTGGATCCGTATAATAATAGTTCAGAAACCAAAATGGGGATTTAACCTTTCAATTATAGCTGCGTCTCAAGGGGCCAGCCTGGAAATGGCTGATTGTTGTATCACGTCCTTATGGGCTGTGTGAATAGTCAAAGGACTTGGAGGTGTATTTAATGCAGGTATTGGGAAGTATGATTCAAGTGGGATGAATCTGGCATCTATGTTGCAATAATTACCTGAATATTGATTCCAATCAATCTGGAACCACACTACAAGGAATGAAAAATACAATAAACCGAAGTTCAGATAACTATGGTTACACGTAAAACATGAATCATGTTGAAAAGCAAAAACTCTGAAGTTACTAGCTCCCGTGTCGCGTGTCCGTCGAAACCTTAGCCGGATAAAAAGTCGCCACTGGTATTGCTACCCCCTTCTGTCGAACCTTAACCCTAATCAGTTAAAATTAAACAAAGAATCATATCTAACTGTCTCGCAATTTACATTATTGGCATGCCTGTTGCAGATGCGAGTATATGGATGGTGCAGTTTATGAAGGCCATGAGAGACGATAAAGGAGAGATGGTACGAAACGCACGTTTGCTGGGGTTTTTCAGGAGAATCTGCAAGCTTTTGTACCTCAAGACTGAGCCTGTCTGTCTTCGTGTTTGATGGTGCCACGCCAGCTATTAAGCGCCGCATCATCACCGCGCGTCGCAGGCAGCGAAGGAACGCCCAGGGTCAAATTGGGGACAGAATGGACAAAGAAGATGAGGCAAAAACTTGTAATTTCAAACGTTAAGGGTTTAAGTTTTTAAGTTTTATTTTTTTACTATCCATCGTGGCAACTGGGTGTAAAAGGTTGATGACGTGTTGGATGACATGGCAATCATAGACGGAGTTGTCACGGGCCACGAGATATTTAAAAAAAAAAAATTAGAGGTAATTTTTTGTATTATTTTTTAGTATAATTTTGTGTTTTATTTAAATAATAAATTTTTATATTTATTTAAGATTTACAATATTAAGTATATTTATTTATTTAATAATACATAAAAATTATAAAAAAAACTAAAAATTATTTTTATATCACAACTCTTTTTTTCATTAATAATTTGGTTATAATTTCATAATTTCTCAACTCATGTACTTCAAGACCTTAAAGTTACATTCAAGGAAAATCAGGCTCAAATTTAGGAAGTGGACAGGAGAATAAATTATGATATAAGGGTAATTTTTTATACCATTTTTAATATAATTTTTATATATTATTAAATAAAGAAATATATTTAATATTATAAATTTTAAAAAATAAAAAAATTAATTATTTAAATAATATATAAAATTATATAAATAAATTATCTTTAAATTAGTTTTTAAACAATAAGTGATTTTCTTTTTCTTTTTTTTTTTTTTAAGCTAGGGAGAATATTACAACTATTTAAGAAGGACTTGAGCACCTTGATGCCTATTGCCGGTGTAAGTGATTTTTCCTTTTGATGTGGTTGTAAAACGACAACTGAATTTTTTTATACGGATTACATAGATTTTATTAAATATTTTTATTTTATTAAAAAAA